GGTTCAGCCAGTTCCAGCTTGAGTTCTTGCTTTCTTCCTTCTTAAAGTCATAAGGGGATTTCAAGTGGGAAGTGGAATTCTTCACTTTTTACGTAACTGTTTATGGATGGTTATCTGTTAGGCAGCTGCTGTATGTCACAGATGGGGAGGAAAAACCAATCTATGGGAGGAAATGATCTAAGTGAATGATCTAGAAACGAATACTTCTGCTGTTATAGAAAGAGGGTGTTGTCGGTGCATTTTTAGCTCCTCAAACTGGCTTTCCCTCTGCTGTGTGTTCTGTGCTGTTAGATTTGAATGTAATCTAATGATGCTAACTTATTAATTTTTTCAGTGTTTTAAGGGCAGTTGCTCTCCTAGTACAGAAGTCAGAGTTGCTCAAGATGCTGTAATCCAGAGAACAGGCGAATGGAAGTGATGTCTGGGAAAGCATTATTGCCATATCTAGTACTACGAGTAACTAGAATAACTGTAAAGCAGTGGTTTAAGAAAATTCCAGTCAGTGTTGCATCCTTAATTAAGTGGGTGGTGGAAGAAGGTATTGCTAATTGCTAAGTTAAACGAGCTTCGCCTAAATTTACATTGTGCTTACAGCAAAAATCGGCTGGTGCGTAGGACGAGTAACCTTGGAATCTGCTTCTTGTCTGTCTTGTCTCAGAAAACTGATCTTTCCCTTTTGTTTGCACAAGCTTCTACTGTTCATTGCTATTAACTCAGTTTTGAAAAACTTTGTGAAATGATTTGTTTGAAAGCAAAACTTTGCATGTACTTTAAACCTTCACTTGAGGAGGTGAGTCTCTGAAGAACACTTAGCTCTGGTTAATTCCTTTGTAACCAGTAACGTAAAAATATTTATGAATTCAGAGTTAAGCAGGACCGTTAGACTGGGCAGCATGCCGCAAGTCCGTTTCAGTGTGTCTTAAACCTGAATCTCTGGTATTCTTCATGGCGTTTTTCACAGAAGTGTGTTTAAAATATTTTTCAGTTAATGGATGTCAGTGTTGATTTGTGGAAGACATACAGCAAAATGGATCCTGTTTCCTTGGAGGACTTGCTCTTTGAGGTAACGTGGGTGAAATATTCTGAATCGACTTCTAGTCTGTTAGTGTAGCTGCAGAGCAAAATTGTTGTTATTTTGTTTGTTTTTAATAGTGCTTATGTACTTAATCTGCTGGCTTTGCATACTGTTGTGGGCAGGGTCTCTTTCCTTTCTTCAAATCTGCCACAAAGTCTGCAAAACTTTAAAATCGCTTGTCTTGAATTCCTTCAATTTCTTAATTTGCCTGAAATTCTCCTAAAAGTTTCTCTAAATGGTGTGACGATTCTTCAGGTCATAGGACTGTGTACAAAGTACAAAAAGTCGGTATGTTTGTGTGTGTTAATACTCCTTTCACAGCAAGGGCGGGGGGGGAAATCTACTGTAGCATACAGCCATTCTTCCAAGGAAAAAACACTTTCACGATTGCTTTGTAACTGCTTTAAGTGGATAACAGTGACACACAGTGGCTGCCCTGATGCTTTGTGAAATACAAACACCGTGTAAAGTGTTTCCTCATTTTAAAGCGGTGGTCCGATCTCAGGGCTAGAGAAGACAGCAATATATGACTATTAGTATGTATTATTTTGTTGTTAATTTTTTCATCGGTTTCTAGCTTGGCAGCAAAGTAGGCTTTTAATATGTAGCAAGTTCAGCAGTAAGTATCCTTTATTAATAAAATATTGGTGGTTCACACCAATTTGGTTGTTTAATCAGCTGCTGTAATGAAAATTAAAATGTCGTCGAAGAGTTGACAAGGCTGTCAGTCTAAACAGTCACTCTGTGATACTTCACTTTCCCCTTCCTGTGGAAGTGAGATAAGTGTTTGGGACTGTTTTCTTGTACCTGGTAAGTCTACCCTGAAACAGACTTATTTATCCTATTTTGAAGTTTTGAGCCTGAAAGTTGTTGTTAAATTGACTTCATTTTTTTTGGGGGGGAGGGGAAATTAATGAATGGGGGTTTCAAACAACTCTGGTTTCATAGAAATTGGGGATTTTAAAAAGGATTCATTTTCTCCATGAGGATGAAGCTAGGTGCAGCTAAAGAGCATTAGAAGTTGGTATATGTTCTTTTTTTTTTTTTTTTGTTAACACAGCTTTGATTTCAAGAAGTTCTGATTTTAACTCTACTTGGAATTTAAAAGAATATTCTCTACAATATTGGCACGTTCCAAATAAGCTCACAAAAGTACTTTGTAGTTCTTAGCTTCTATGAAAAGCTTATTTGAGACTGGAATATTCTCCAATGATAGTTTCTCCCCTTAAATGTAAACCTTCATTTTAAACCTCTAATATAAGCTTTATTAGTATTTTGGAAGGCTTGTAAGAGTTCGTCAACATTCACTCTATAAATGTCATTCATTACTGCATTAATGAAGTGGCTGAAGTCAAATCCTGTATAATACTCATACCACTGCTAAAATCATAATTCTAATTTTGCCTGTTATATGTCTGAAAAACTATGTTTTCTAAAATCAGAATGGCTCTCATCTTCCAAGTTAGTATGTGACAAGTAACTGAAAGTAATCTTGAGAGCATTTTAAAATTGCCTAGTTCTGTAAGGTTCCTGCTTCATCAGCGTGACGCGCTCTTTTCTTTTTATTGATTCTTTGATTTTTTAAAATTAATTTGAATGCAACACTTACCTGTAGCCATCTTCCTTTTTTTATTCTGCTTCAGTGAGGTGTTACTGATATTTCCTTTTCCACTTACCAATTTTTTTTACAAACGTAGATAAAGAAATGACTGTCTGCCACTTGCATATCATGAGCTTCCCAAATTCCCCACCCTGTTCCTCATTTTCTGGCCATAAGCTTACTTAATGTCAGATACAAATTCCTGCAGAACCATATGCAGATTTAAAAATTGAAAATTAAATCTGTCCAAATGTTCATTTTGGAAGTCCTATGGGAATCGTGAGGTCCGAGTTATGAGTGATCTCCAAACAGTGTGCTTCCTGAGGTTAAAAGCAGATAGTGATAGATAGATAGGGCTCTCGTTCTCTTCTCTCTCCAAAAAAAACCCTCAACCCTAAACAAACAAAAAGCCCCCCACCCAAAAAAGACCCCATAAAACCTAGCAGAAAGTCCTTATCTTTTAAAAAATGTTTATTTTCCTGTACTTAATTGTTTCATTGGGCAGGCTGCAATAGCATACTGCATAGTGAAATGTAATCTGTGTTGTTCGAAAGTAATTGGGATTCGTTCGGTACAATCTGTGACTTCCTTTCTCTGGTATAACACTTGCCTTACTAAGTAATGTTGAATATTTTTCTTCTAGGATTTAATGATTTTTGAACACCAGTGGACCAACTTTTTTGCGAATTTTGATACTGAAATTCCCTTCATTCTGGAGCTATCGGAATCTCAGGCAGGGGAGGTATGCCTGCTTCAGTAATCCTTTGAAATGCTAGTGTCATCCGTGCAGAAGTGAGAAGTATTCAGCGTTAGATGTTTTTTGTTTTCCTTTTTTCCCTCCCCACCCCACCTCACCTTTCACGTTTGAAGAGTAGAAACCTGTTGGTTTTTTTAAGTTCACCACCCACTTTACCTATCCATGGCAGGATGGCTTAGGACTGCCTAGGGTAAATCAGTTGAGTGTTTGTTCACTGATAACTGAAATTAGTTGATTTAAGTCTGCACAACAGATCCCTGTTTGTAGGTAGCTTGACTTTCATTTTGTTGGCAGCTCTGGTATGTGCACTTCCTAACAAGTTGAGGTTGCATGTGTCAAATCTCAAACATAACTGATGGTAACGTACAGCATGGGTGAAAATAGCACGGTACTTTTTGGTAGTTGCTGTTGCTTTTTAAGCATAGGTGAGACTTAATGGTGTTTCGGTTTGTTTATGGAGGTTGGAAGTAGTTTTTGAGAGTTTTCTCCGAGAAGGATAATTCAGGTTTATTCTTAATCATAATGAGGATATATCACACTTTCTGTTCATTTACTTGTTAATATTTTTTTTTTAAATTCTTCACAGCCTTTCCGAAGTTACTTTAGTCACGGAATGATCTCAAGCCATATAACAGATAACAGGTATTACTCATTATTTCCTGTGAAATTGTGGTGTCACTAGTACCTCGATACATTATTTCCATATCTCTGATGCCATAATGCTTATAATTCCTTTTGGGACCATCTCAGTGTATCACATCTCATCTTTGCATATTTAAAAAAAAAAACAACGTGCAAAGGCACTTCTGGGAAGGATAAGCTGAATTTTCATGGGATTTAATGCTGTAGTTATTACATATACAATGCCAATATGTTTGAAACCATCACCTTGTGCATTCTAATATGATAAATTTCTTCATGGTCAGATAGCTAAACAAACTCATGAACTTATTACACAGGACAGCTATGTGTGAAAATGTTGGCTCTATTTATACCATACTCAAAACCAGTTAAAACATGAAGGTTGAAGAAGTCAGTATACTTTTGTGAGTCACAACATGCACGAGACCAATGCTTAAAACAGGGCAGCTTAAAACCCAGATCTTAGCCAGTATAAGCTGGGAAATACAGGTCAGCTGTATTTTATTTCAGCATAGAGCTTGAACTGAGAGAGGAAGGTGGTTTGTCGTATGTTGCAAAACCAAGCGTTCTGCTGTTTTGAGCTAAATAAAGGTTGCTTAGCTACTTGAATGTCTCTGTAGATTCTTCTTTATTTGGAATTAAACAGCGGAGTTCAATGTCCTTTATTGTTTTCAGCATCCTATGTTGTTTACATTTAATGAAAAGAAAAACTTTGACCTCTCCAGTTCAGTCTTGGGCCCAAAGCCAGAACTAAAACCAAAATAGTTCTGTTTAATTCCAATATAGTAATTTCAGAGTTTTTCAAGGTGGAAAATGTTAAACTAGTCAGCTTTTCAAGGCAATTTACTTTAAAAAAGAGGAAATAAACCTTTCTAATAGCATTTGGGAAACAGCCTTGATATATGTTCTTGTATATGAAAGAAATTATAGTCTTGTTCATTCGAGTAGGTTTTTTTCCTTAGAACCTGGTCTTTTCAATGGGAAGCTTTTTCTGCAGCTGTAGTAAATTTTCTTTTTATCCCACTCTTTTAGTGAGAAATTCAATAGTTGGTCCATCAGACTTGAAAGCTTTGATTTCATTTGTGGTTTGTAAGTTTTCTTCAAGTATTTTGGTGGTGATACCCTCTTTTCTCCTTAGCCCTAGCCGGCAGCCCTTTGTTCTGTTTGGTAGCCACTCAACTAAGGAAAACTTGAACTCTGGTAACTTTAATTTTCCATCAGAAGGACATCTTGTTCGCAACACTGGCCTTGGTGGAAGCACTGCTAAGCATATGGTAAGGCTTTTAAGTAGTTATCTGGTATTCTGAAGCAGTGTATATTTTCTTTTTCTTCGTATACTTTTTGTGCCCTTAAAATGCTTACCTTCTGTGAGTTAAGTACCTAGTTCTTCTTAACATATAAAAACATATGTTACCTTAACAATCAGTCAGTTTAAGGAGCAAATTTCCTTTTTCTTTCTCTTTCCAAGTCAAACTATACTGAAGTTTAATCAGGGACTGCTGAATGAGTTAAAATATTTTTTCCCCTGTAAAGAGACAACTTTTTAAACACTTGTGGTGCTGTAAATGTGTGGGGTGGGGGAGAGGGAAATGCTGTTCGTGAGGACGTTTGTCCTAGCCATAAAGGGAAAATCTTCCTGATGGTAGCATATGATGTACTTAACTCTGACACACAGATTGTATTTTAATCAGAATTGTTTAGCCATTTCTTAAACAGAAATGGAAAGACGCTTTTTTTGATAATGACTTTGTGAACAGACACAGGATACTTATGCGTATCCAAATGTCAGTGTATGCTTCAGCAACTGATCAGTTCATGAAACTCTGAAAATCTTTCTGGTGTTCAAAGAATGTTAACATCAAGTTGTAAGATTAACTTGTTTCCATTTTCAAGTAAAAGCTTAGTTTTAAAACATATGATGAGGTCGATGGCTTGTTGCACCGCCGCGCAGGGGACGTAACTGGGGAAGCGACCCCAGGGAATTCAGATCCTCTGGCTGGCTGGGCTGGGTGCATCAAGAAGGTAACTCGCAGCGAAGGAGGAGAGGTAGCGTGCAGATTGTGTTGTGTAGTTCTCCCTGCTAGCCGATTGCCGTGGGCTCTGGGAGTGTCCGTCAGTTGTGCGAGTCCAGAGTCTGTGCTGCTGAGGAGATGGATGTGGTTGAGTACAGGTCATCGTGGAGTGAACGTATGATTGAGGGAATGAGTTTATGATCTTGTCATGACAACATTTCTTGCATAGTTGCCTTAGGGATGGATGGACGTGGGTATTCTGGACACATTGCATGTGTCAAAAGCCTGAGAAAGGATTGCTTTAGCATCCCAGTGAAATCTCATTCTCCATTTGCTGCTCTGTCTAGCCCTATTTTTGTAAAAACACTTCCAATTTTTTTTCCTCCCCTTGTTAATATTCCCATTAAGACCATTTGATTTCTTTCAAAATGCAAGTACAATTTTATTCTGATGTACTTGCTCCATCTGTTGTCCTCAGATTCTGACATTGTGCTTAAAAAGGTGGTTTATTTACAGGTACAGGTGATACTGTTTTAATAGGGTGTCATGAAAATAGTAAATAAGACCAAGTGCAAGCATAGTTGTGGGAACCTGACACACTTTCCTCTTCATGAAAAGAGCAGTTGACATAGGAAATTGAAAACACACGCTTAACACTTATGGAAGTCAGAGCTCATCTCCTTTCCAAAGTCTTTCAACCTTTCAGGTCAAGTCAAAAGTGAAATATACCTTTGAAAACGTAAGTTGCTTTTTTAAAATCCAGTTCAGTCTGTGTTGTACACTTCCTGTAGCATGTCAGTGGTTAGAAGACTTAAGGGGAACTTAGCTTATTGTTAATTATTGCACCAATTTTTTTTTACTAAGGGCTTTTTGTATCTCATTAATACTGACAACTAGGTAGTGCAGTGTGTATCTCCAAAGGGACCTCTGGCTTGTTCAAGGACCTATTTTTTTGGAACCACTCACATTCCTTTCCTAGGTAAGTATATTAAAAATACCAAGCAGTAATTTAATGCGGTTATTCTGATTATTTAAAATTTGTAGCGATTAAAAGACGGCTTTGATTCCTTTATGAGCATTAGGCCACGGAGTGGTAGGTACTGTGTAGCCAGTGCATGAGATCCTAGCAGAGCGTGTTGCACATCCCGCCTTCGTGTGTGAAAATCTGTCAGGTATTCGCAAAGAACGATTCAAAGGTCAAGAAGCGTATTTGTGTTTGCATCAGAATGCAGCGTGAAGCTAGAGAGCACCTGAGCATGCAGGCCTTTTGCAAGTACTAGATAAATGTTAAGTACATGTTCCATACAGATTGATAGAAAAACAGTCCCCAAAAATACAGTAATTCAAAGTGGTAGTTGTCACATAAAGCCTGCTTTTTTTCCCTCTCTTTTTTTTTTTTTTTTTTTTTTTTAAAAAAAAAAAACAAAATAATTGAGGATTTTTAAAAGGATAGAGAAAATTCTTTGATTTTTATCCTCTGGTTTGTGTCCAATATAGGGTGTTATAATAGCTGTCATCCCTAATAAAAACAAGCCATGTGAAATTTTTAAAACCCATTTTCTTACCCATTTTAAATGGCTGCCTGAGTCCATAGATAAAGTCGATCTCCTTAGGGTTACTATATATCATGAAACCATATCCAGCTCAGAAAGTATCTGAAGAGAAGATGATTGGAGGCTTGCAAAATGGAAGGAGCTATAGCATACCTTTACTCCGGTTGTGCTTTTTCCTGGGCATCCAGAACGGCCGCTTCGGGGGAGAGGCTACAGCGCCAGGGGGATCTTTGTTCTGACCCCGTGCAGCTGGTTTTAGGGGATGCAGGTCTTAATCCTGGCCGTACTACGTACTGGCTGCACTGATACAACTTAACCTGTGCTTTGCTCTTTTTCAAATCTGCAAACAAACTGAAGTTATATAAAATACTGGATAAATGTCATCTAAGATATGCAGCAAAAGTGTTATGCCCAAGAAGTTCTGTATAAATGCTCCTGAAAGTGCTTAAACCAAACATTTTCGTTTTTAATACAGGAGACGACAATGAGGTGCACAAGCAAGCTGAACAAGTGTAAGCTGCCAATTTCTTATTATTCCTTAACTATTCACTCTTTCTACCTTGTGGCAGTAGGTCAAAACCACTTTTAGTCAGCAGTGGCTGTTGGCATTTGCCGAGCTACATTTTTATTTAGAATAATGTGAATGTGAGAGGGTTTCAAAGGCAAATTGCTCATTGAGGGTTTTGGTGAGCCAAGTAGGACTTGCTAGCGTGACATCCCTTCTGCTGCACAGCAAAGTATGAAAGGAAATATTAGGAAATTTTGCTTAGATTTTAATAAATTTTTTTGTCTTAACAAAAAAACATTGCTTTAAAATGCACTTCATATACACTGAGGGGGAAAGTAGCTATAACTGAATGGGAGCATGTTCCACAGATAGAAATAAAAGTAATTTTTAGACTAGTTTTATTAAGCTAAATAATGTGTAAGATTTAGAACGGTTAGTGAAAATGCCAACAGGGAACACTCAAACTTGCACAGAAATTTCACTATGGTAAAGGACGGATAAAAGTTAAATTCTGAATTCTTTAGTAAGCTTCCGCACGTTTTGACCTTCACAAAATAAGACTTTGTTTATCCATGTTGATGTCCACTTCTCTGCATGTTGTAGATACCTGTCAAGCTTTAAGAACATGGTAGATAATTTGCTTTGGTACCACTCTCAATCTTGATAAACCAGACCTTTCCTTAGAGATTTTGTCCTCTTTGCTAGTTAGGATAATTTTAGGAGCCTGTTCTTGCTTCTGTAGCAGAGCGGTTTGCAAGCCCGCGTGACATGGTAGCGAGATATTAAAGATGTGTCAGAGGGAGCCGGCAGCGGTGACCTTTCATGCTAAATACTGTTCACTTTTGGTAATTGTGATATGGTTCTCAAAGATGTAAAAGTAAAGTTACTAGACTGAGCAGCAGGGTTTTTTTTTATAGTAATGTTAACTTCAACAGGTAATTTTGCTTATATATGTTCTGCTCAGATATATAGAATATTTCTTGTCCTACTTCTAAAAGACTTTGTACTAAATACAGTTGTAACCAAGATGGCTAGAGAAGTTCTAAGCAAAGCAGGGGTCAGTTGATAGAGGCAGTATTTTTTATGAGAATATCTTTTTCTCGGAAGCATCCCTGTGTTGGATCAAATAATCTAGTTTCAACAACAGCAGCAGAACTAGATTTTCTGGCAAATCTGAACTCATGATTCTGGAATTAGTTTGCAGTTGAGTTCTGTAACTGGTTCTTAGAGTTGTCAATGTTTTCCAATGAAATAAAAAGTGAAAAAATATTTCACAAGCACTATTCAGTCCAAATTTGGCTGTATTTAGGAAGCAGAACTGCAACCTACAGTGCAAATTGGCTGGAGTGCATAAAAACTGACTGTGTGACTTTAAGTATCCCTGGGGTAAACTTTGCTTTTTTTTTTTTTTTTTCTTTTAAGAAAATACCATTTCCTGTTTTGCATTGTTAGTGTTAAAATTTTAAAATGGGATGAAGAGTAAGGTAACTATAGCATATTAATGTGAAGCACAGCCCACTGTTAGGTGTTTTCTTGCAAATGCATATATGAATTTGAGTGAAAATAGGAATGGTTACAGAGTTAGGAAGAATTACATGCATCTCCTGTGACGAGTGTGTACTGAAAACATAAGTGCATGTGTTGGTACATGAAATTACATAGAAGAAACCTCAAAAAGCAGTAAGAAGGTTTGGTTTTACAATCTCTCCCTGCTATTGGGGCTGAAGTTCAAAGACAAGCGTTGGTGCATTTTGAGGTTCCTCCATGTTGGGCCGTGTTTGGGAGCTTCAGATGCTTTTTTCCATCCTTCAGGAATGCTTTGCATATGGCTTAAATGCTGTATCCTTCTCTTTCCTCCCCCCTCTTCCTTCCCTCAACGTCCCGCAGTTGCAGAGGAGTAATGAGAGGAGTTAAAGTTTGGGGAAGTAGGACTGGTTTGTCATCTCCTTATGGGTTTGTTCCAATTTAGCTGGAAGACAGAGGCCGATGTTTCTTAGTTGGGCACAGGTGGTTTTTGCGATAGTTCTGGAGCTATAAATACCTCAGTAGCTGTAAGTCCATTCTGGCTTCACCTAACCTTTATTTCTGTACCATTTTTTCAATTCCTTTTAAGAAGGGAATCGGCCTAAGCTGTGATGTAGAAGTGCTCAAACGGTTGTGGTGACGGGTTTGTTTTGGTATCTTTTTTGCTTGACATGCTCCAGACCAAGTCAGTCTCTGAAGTCGGTTCACTCTGTTTTCCAGTTCTGCCGAACGTGGGGCTACCATTCTATTCGTGTTGGAATATTTAGGATGTGATCCTCAACACAACTGCAGCGAAAGTCAACAATAAACCATTTTTTTTTTCTTGACTGATGAGAGCAGGGATACATTTGTACCAAGAGGTGTTTTTTCCCAAGATATTCTGTAATTTGAGCAATTTACTTGCTCTAATTTATTTTTTTAAACTGAAAGGTTAAGCATAAAGCTATTTCTACGCTTATTTGCACAAGGACCCCATCCGTATAAGGCAGTTGTGTTATGAGAGGAAAAATTGCTCCTTTAAACAGAGGAGGACGAAAACTCTATCTGTCTAGTAAATGTTGTGTTTGTATTTCTCTTCAGTACGCTGTTGTCGCAAATATATACTGCTGTTGTAGAGGCTGTGCTTGCTGGCATTGAGTGCTATGCTAAAACTTCCACTGAATCCAAGGTAAATGAAGCACCGATTCTGTACACTGTAATTGTTGATTTGGATTGCTTGCAATATAAGATTACATGCAAACCAAAATAAAAAAAATAGTTTCCGTCAACTGCATAACAGTAATGAAGTTAATTCCGTGGCCTCAAACCAGTCTCTCTGAATTCTCTTTAAAAAAAGAAATTTCAGAGTATATCTAATCGTATCCATCTACAATTGTTTTTCCATCTTTCATGAATTTTCCTAACCTTATAGTAAGGAAAATCAGATGGTGAAAGAACAAATTTTAGCCTGGTGCATCAGTGTTATTGTCTAGTGTATGGTCTCTTGTTTATCTTATGGGTGCTCCTGTAGCTGCTGGGATTTGAAAGTATGGGAAAAGATATTTTATTCTCAATTTCCTTTTTTCAGGCAAAGGAGGTAGCAGAGCAGATGCTCATGTCTGTGTTAGATACCCTTCATTTAACACAACTTAAAACTGCATTATGGTATGTGTTTTCAAATACTTATTGATGTATTGTGTCAATGTATTAGCTTCTTTTGGGGAAAAAATATATCAAATGTTAATTTAAAACTGAACTTGCATGACTGCCAGATTCCAAGACTTCATAATGCATTCAGACTTTTACAGTCATTATAATTATTCCATTTTTCTTTTCATGCTTTTTTAATCACTTCAGCAGTTCTTTTGCTTTAAATCTGTTATTGCTTGTTTTTTACATGTAGAAGAAGGATAAAACACATTTTTCACCAGTACAATTTCTGTTCTACAGCTCCAAAATCGCTTTTCAAATTCAGGCTGTGAATAATCATGGAAGGTTTGTATCACTGTCTTATGCTTCTTGTTATTAATTAGTGTTTTTAATACAGTAATAAGTTTATTTTTCTTGTCTTGAAACTTCTGAGAAAACACTGCATTTGATTATTTCGTACAAGATGTACTAAATGCTTTTGTGTATGAGACAGTTTAATGATTTCATATCTGTAATTCTGTGGAATCCTAAAAACATTTAAAAACATCTAAAACAACTGGGCAGATCAGTTTTATTAACTGTTAATCAGTAGAAGCAGCATGAGCCCAGTAAGAGTTTCCTTTTAAAACCGTGCTTTTAAGTTCGCTGATATGACAAGCTTGTGCTTTTTTTAATCCTCACGCTGTCTAACTGACTGAAATGGCTGACACAAATAAGATGTTATTTTAAAATTAAATAGCTTTTTTGGCTGCTATGAAGTCACTCAGAATGATGTAACCTTTAAATATTTAATTATCATTATTGTTCCAGAATTACTCCATTAGATAATGAGGATAGCCTGAGTTTGATTAAAACGGTAAGTAAGCTGTTCAGTATTCTGAGTATACATTTTATTAGAAAATAGAGCTCGAGTGGCCTTTTTTATGGGGCATGCTGAGATTTTTATCTGTGTGAATACGAATGTAACGGGGGAGAGATGAGGGAGATTCCAGATGCTTGAAGCCGAGGTAAGATTGAGTTTTAACATGAAGTCAGACAGTGGAATTTGGAATAAAACATTAACACAGAGTTATGATCTCAGACTTTCCACTACAATATAGCAGCAGTGTCTTAGGCGGTTTAAAACATATGGATTTTGGTGCTTCAATTGAAGTGTTTCAAATTTTGCTTTCTCTTCCTTTCTGTCCGACTCTTGGATTGCTGTAGGCGTCTATGATGGTATTTGACATTCCAGACTTGCTCACAGGAAGAGGATGCTTGGGATCTGTTGTCTTTTCAGAGTCTTTTCTAACATCACAGATACAAGTAAAAGAAAAAGGTAACTATTTTAAATTCTGACACCAATGTTGCCGTTCTGTTAGCTTTGGTGTGATGGAAGAGCAAAAGGGCTTCCAATGGATGTTATTACTATTACCATTATGGTTTAAAGCCCTTGGGTTAATTAAAAGACCTAAATGTTTTAGCTTGCTAGTAATGAATATCTTAAGTGTCAGGTTTCTCTAATCTCACTGAAAGGACTTTGGGGTTTATGGCTGCCTTGTGATACAGCAGGGCTGAGGTATAAAAAAATGCAAGTATAATAGTACCCTTCCTAAATTTTCTTCAATCTTGGTGAATGTTTTCTGTTGTATAGGAAGCTTAAACAGCTCTCTTCCATTGCTTTTGTAACACTCATTTTATACAATATGTTTTAATTTCAGTTGCTCTTTGTTTGGAAGAGATGAAAGAAAACTAAAAAAGGATATAATTTTTAGAAAGCTTGTTTTTGGAACAGTCTTGCATTTAAAATACAGGATGCTGAGTAATTTCCATAACTTTAGATAACCGCATATTTACATGTGACAAAGATAAGTAGTTATTCAGGTTGTCTGAACGATATTAATGAACTCTTGTATCCAGACAGGCTGTGGGTTTTTAACCATGGGAGTTGGAACCCTTTTGGTGGGGAGGAGAGCAAAGGAAGAAGCCGTATACTAAGACCAGAATAAAAGCAGGGTTTGTTTGGTATTGTACAGCAGCTCTGTGTATGTTACAGCACAAGAAGGCTGGGAGCTAGCCTGCTGTGAAAGCTTCACTTAAACTCTAATGAGTCCTTAAAATAATGAGGACATTTTCATATTTCCTAAAGAAATTTCAAGTCATAAAAGTAACTTACTGAACAGTCTGAAGTATATGGATGGTATTATACTACTTTGCTTTCCATTTACTTCCCTGCAGGTGGCAGCATTAGTTCAGAAACCAGCCACATAATACTGACTGCAGCTATCCCAAGATATGCTTCTTGGCTGGTTAGTACACAAAAACTTATTTGAGTTTTTTCTATACTTACAGATTCGTAAATGAAAACTTGTTATAAAAGTATGGATGTTGGGGAAAAAGTATGGAACTTGGGCATTGAAACAGAATATTAATGTATTAATACTGTGCTGATTTTTGAATTTGGACATGAAGTGAAAAAACTAATAAGTGGAAACAGGCTGATGGTTCCGTTCCTAGCACAAGTTTTCAATTATTTCATTTTCACCACTTCAGTTTTTAGCTGCGTGAAGGCTTGGGTGTTTTTCAAGTACACAGTGTGACTTTTGAAAATTCTGGTGATTGTGGGGCACTTAAGATGACTTCAATGTCTGCCCCAACAGAAACACACACCTGCTTCCAGACCTCTGATGTGCTACACTGTGGTAGAGGTGTAGTTCCAATGAATGTTGTGAAGTTGGGCAACGTTATGCCCTTTGGCAATCCATACTTCTTAAAGACTTTAACAGTAATAAAAAATAAGACTGAATGGGATATGCTGCTTTGTGACTATACAGTATCATTTTAGTCTATAAAACAATTTAATGGGGAGTGTCCCCTTGAATATGTTTCAACTATTTAAGTCCTGTGGTAATACCATATTGAAGAGCACAAAGCTGTCTTTGAAGCACTGTGGTCTCCGGGCTGTGTCTGTCTGTGGTCCCTAAGGTTCTGGTTTGCCTTGAATCTTCTTTAATGCTTTTTATTTAATGTTAGACTTGCTTTATCTACTAACAGTACAAACGGAAACTGTTTCTGGCTACAGGTTGAAGATAGTGATGTGAAACTGTCTGAAAAGGCACAGCATATTTTGAAGGTAAAATTAAACATTTTTATTAAACTATGTAAGTTACACTTTCAAAAACTCTTAGCTGCTAGTAAAACTGGCTTTTATGACGGTTGTTATTTCTCTTCTACAAAAGACTTGCCTGTTCTACCCTGTCTCTTTCAAACTTTGACCTACAAAAAAAAAACATTGTGTGTAAAAATTTGAGGTTTTCTTTATTTCAAAGAATGACAAAACCCAAGAGCAAAAAGAGAGTTCTAATAAAGCTATGATTTCGTGGAAGTCTCACTAAGTATTACCCACGGAGCTCATGTGTTTCAAAAAAACCCCCAAAACTCAATGCAACTCTACATGCAACTTTCTTCTAACTTAATTAGCATGTTACATGTCTAAAGGAAAACACTTTAAGCACTACGAAAAAGAAAAGAATTTGGGATATGGGAACATCTCAAACCACATGAGTTTCACATTTGTGGTTTAATTTGTGGTTACCAGAAATCTTCATTACAAATAGATTTATTTTCCTGTAGTATACTTTTAGTTCAGTAGATTGACAATCTAAAAACAAAAAGCTATGCCTTGTGGTTGTGACAATAACTTGTAACTTAATAGCTGCTGGCAAAAGTGGGGGGAAGTGCTTTTAAAAATTACACTCTTGACATGCTGTCTTTCACTAGTTCTTCTGTGTCAGTGCAGTTTATAACTCTTGTACAAGTTCTGACAGATGCTGTTTAAAAAAACCTTTTTTTCTTGAAGCAAAAGCATGAGAAAATATTCTTGCCTGGATCAGAGTCCTTGATGCAGTCTGTGATATTACCGTTTGTTTTTCCTGTTCAGGAAGACAAATCTTTTCTGGGCACTTTACTCGCTGGAGGTGATGGAGCGTATATTTATTCTAGCAATCCACAGGCCATACCTGCAGAAGGTGAGATGTGTTTTTTCAGTTACTTAGACTTGGTCCACTTTTTTTTAAACAGATTGTTGCACAGTTTCTGGGATTTAAACATCTGGTGAGCATACTTATGCCATCGTCTTAAGGTTTCTTTCCATTTGCCTTTGCAGCTTTCTCTTGTTAAACTCCATGTTTTACTTTTTTGTCCCTAACCTCTGCTCGAAACTTCTAGTCCTAGAAGAGGGATTCCTGTCAGAGCCATGGGGTTGCTTTTGAGGCACACAAAACTCACCTCACGTGATTGAGAGCGAGTCTTTGAAGACCTGGAAGATGGCTTTCTCCCATAGTTGAAGTTCAAAAGCATGCACAAAACGGCTGCTTCTATCCTTACCGGATGGTGTGCCATATTTTCTGCTTTTTCTGTACCTATATGAACATTAGGTTGGAAAGATTGGGAATTACAGTAGTGACAGTATGCCATGGGCTCTCAGCTCAAGAAGTGAAGGCAAATATGTACCTTTTGGGCAACGTGATATGCTGTCTGTGATGTAGGAGGGGACTGGAATCATTTGCTTCTAAATTTATTTACAGCCTTGTGTTCTTTGCTCCTACTGGAGGCTCCTTCTGGAGCTGAGATGCTGTTCCAGTTTTTTTCCATTGTCATTTTCACTCAGGAACTTCAGTGTTTATTAGCACAGGTGCTCATTGTATGACAGAAAGGTGCTCGATCTTGGTCCTCTTCAGATTCAATCAAGTTACTGCTTTCTGACACAAGATTACTAGCAACAATCTTAGACAATTCCTCTTCTTTTGGTGCCTTTTTCTTCGAGAACTTAAGTAACATGAATATCCCAATAATACAACTAAAGACAATTTGGGAGGACTGTTGGAAGGGGTTTCCCTCACTCCACAGCCTTGCGTTAATGTGCCTTGCTTTGCCTTGAGAAAACTCTCAAAAATAAACAGAAGTTGTTGAATCAAAACATATTTCTTAAGGCACAATATTTATGTTCTGCTGTCCAGCCAAGGTACTGTTGTCACAGTATGGATGTACAACACGAGAACTAACATCTGACATCTAAGTGGTTAGTATAAGCTGACGATCTTTAGGGGGAAATCTTTAGCTTTATTGGTTTTGTAGCTATGCAAAGAGAATATTGAGGATAAATAATGATGTACAGGGCAATTAACTAGTGACTTTCATGTAGCCGAATTTGCTTTTGCTCTAATTGAACAGATTTTAAAGAAAGAAGGTTAATGCAGAATAACATATTTAGCTATTTTGCAATACAGTGCTGTGGGCACAGGTTCACTCAGTAAATAACTAAGGAAAAGAATGGTGAATTTTTTTTTTTTTTTTGGCTTTGTGAAAACTGGCTGTGTCTGCCCCAACGGGGCAATTCACAAATCTCCCCAAAAAAGGGAAAAAGTAAAGTTGAATGTTTTAGTAACTCTTGGGATGGAGAGTTTTAAGTAGGTGGTATAAGGACTATTATGTAACACTTCAACGAGCGAGATATTTCCTTAGGTGTCAAGTGAAAATGAACTTGATCTCGTTCCCTTTCACGTACGCCGCAAGACAGTTTGCTGCACTCTAATTTGGGCTCTGCTGAGGTTGCAGCTATGTAGTCTGGCAAGATTAGATTAAAAACGGTGCTGTCACATAGGTGCTCGTTCTTCCCCCTCTGTCACTTATCTCTTACTGAAATAAGGTATGCATTCATGACTAAAATGCATCAAAAAAATTCAGCCTTTTCCTTAGCATGCTAATACAGGCGCTGTGTTATGGATTTTTGTAGGATGAACTTACCCGAGTCAATCAGTCTTGCTAATTAAACTCTTTCTGTGATTAATTACTTGTGGAAAATATACAAGTAGTGTATCAAATTGTTCTTGATATAATTCACTGACTTCCATGTTAACAGAAGCCAGTTTAGTTTGGATTAATACTCTTTTTGGCTTGTTTTTCTGTTACGAAAGAATTAACATCTTTGATTTCCTTTCTTTCCCCATTGACGCATTCTCTGTGAAGTGTGATATTCTGTGAGATTTGACAGAAGTGTAATTGAAGTGTTGTATTTTGCAATTTTTTTTTTTCCTCAGCCACTCAATAGAAGGCACATATCTGTCCTGTGGTTTGGCTTTTGTGAGCGCTGGAAGCATCAGCAATGAACATATTGTCGATGTAAACTATTAAACCTCCACATCTATGTAATTATGTGTGACTTTGTCTCCATTCTACTTGCTCTGAAACTTTTTGGCTTTAAAAGAAAAAAAGCCACAGAATATTTACAATAAGTGGGCTCCAGGGGATAAGATTAAGTCAAATGCAGTCATACTCATGATTCCTGCCCTTGATAGTGAGATCCAGTAAAGATCGAATGGTTGTGCTCTCTGAATTCTGTCTAGATACTACCCCAAATCTTTACTCAGATGTACTGCACTGCATGTTAAATAGGACAAAATTCTGCAAGAACATAGATTTCTTCCTCAGAAAGAAGAGGCATTTGTCACATGATGCTGAAATACTGACCTATACCTAATACAATTTTTTTTTCTTTCAAATTCTAGGCAAATTGTACTTCTTTTCAGATGGCATTCTCTTTTCTGATCCCCACCATGGCAGCATTTCCATTTCAAAGAACCACATGAGTTCCATTTCTCTCTATGATGGGGTGAGTATTTTGTTTGTTCCTACGGTCATAAACTTTTTATCGATTTTTAACAGTACTTCTGTAGGGTACTAGTACAAAGTTTTGATTTCAGTTGCAGTTTTACAAGCGTGTGTGTAAAATTAATAACTGATGCAAGTCTCTACACTTCTGGTATTGGTTAGCTTAACCAACTACTGATTAGCTAAACTGTAGGGAGGAGAGAATTTTGTATTAGACTGAGTTATCAATGTGGTCTTAATAGTGTGGAAAACTGCTTTTTATTAAAAGAAAAATTACAGAACATAGCATTTGTAAAACATCTAGGAGTTTTAAGTGATGGATAGAGGAAAGTTCAAGGCACTGTGAAGTCATACGGTGTATTAGAAGGTGAAATGCTGCCTTCTATTCAAAATGTATTTAACCTTCAGTCGATTGTTTGTGGCAGTGTACTACTTATCTCTGGAGAGGTCACGAGCAGTGTCTGTCTACTGTCGTAGAGCGTTGTGTAACTGACAGGTTGAAGGGAGGTGGGGGTCGGTCTCTTCTTCCTAGTAACGAGTGATAGGACGAGAGGAAACGGCCTCAAGCTGCGCCAGGGCAGGTTTGGGTTGGATATTAGGAAAAACTTCTTCACCGAAAGGGTGGTCAAGCATTGGAACAGGCTGCCCAGGGAAGTGGTTGAGTCTCCATCCCTGGAGGTATTTAAAGAGCGGATAGATGTGGTGCTCGAGGACATGGTATAGATGGACTTGGCAGTGTTAGATTAACGGTTGGACTCGATGATCTTAAGGCTCTTTTCCAACCTTGACATTTCTATGATTCTATGAATGACTGTTTCCCAAGCTGAGGAGTGAGAAGGAAAGGCATGTTGCACGTAATTACACATATTCTGAGTAATTACAGTAAAAGACACAATGTTAGGCATAGACTTTAGCTATTCCTGTGATCAACCTACATCACTTCACTTGGCCAACTTGCCATGCTCATAGTTTGGTCTCCTGGCTTAGTGGGAATTGAGAGTTAGGTTAGTGATGGCAACTCAGCTTTTTTTTTATATATACCTCTTCAAGGCAGACACGCTGGGTTAACTATCACTTTTTCAGAATGGAAAAGAGATTATTTTGGTTGGTTATTGTTTCCTAAGCACTGGAGAAAAAAATAAAAATCTGTGTTTCCTGTGGTTTCTATTTTCTTCAGGTACAGTATTAGACATTTGTTTAGTGACCTCCAGAAAGCATTGTGTTGCTATGATTTCATCATATAATGGAGGAAACCAGTAAAGTACAATAAAAGTATGTGATTCAATTGAGATGAAAACACAACAGTGAAGAGAATCTTACCTTAGCTGCCTTTTCTTGTGTATCATATTGATTGCCTCTTGGTAGTTTAAGAAGCTATTTTAACACTGACCTTCCTTCTATTGTTTGATTCAAGACACTCACTTTCATAAAACTAGCTATTTATGGGACCTGGCTATAATTCTTGAACTGATGCCAGATTTTTGTGTAAAGCTAAACCTTGACAGAGAGCATTTTATTGTTCGACTGACTTGGCATAGTGCAAGGGTGGAGAGCTTAGACTGTTAAGAAGTGACAGGAGAAGAAGGGTAATTGTTAGTATGCTTTTTCCGACAGTTATTGCAACAACAATATTGATGGAAAAGAAAGGATAGTTTAATGCTAGGATTAAAATAAAAGATACAAAGACTTTTGTGATGCAAAGTACGGTTTCTTCGCAGCTCTATCACCATGCCTGCTAGATGCTTCTCTCTTTAACTTGAAAATGTCTGCACTTCTGCTTCCAACACGTGCTGCAGGTTTCTCTGTTCCGAGAAGCCGGCCACCTAGCTGCCACCCAAGCTCCTGAAGTCCTTGAGGCTCATAGACATCGAGTGCTTGGAGGACAGGGTAGATTCCTCACAACACTGTACCATGACGGTCTAAAGCAGAAACCATCCCAATCTTAGCAGAATCAAACACAGATCTCCCATCTCGTAAGGCAGCAGCATTCTAGCTTAGTACCCGCCATCCTGGGAGTAAATGAAAACCCGACAGGCTACACTGCCACCCAGTCTCCAAACTCCCAGGTTTCTTTCTTTTTCTTCTGTAGCTGTTCAGTGTCTCAGTGAACTGTATCAAGGTATCTTTACTGTATAGAGCTTAAGGTGCTATGTGCTATGTTTTCAGGTCTTATTTAAGACCAAGTATTTCAGCTTGTAAGTACCTGAATCCAGCATTCATTTTGGCCATTAATCAAGTGAGCAAATATTACTAAGTAATACTTAGATTTCACTACGACGTTAACACCTTGTAAAACTTTGAAATGGATTCTTCTAACCTAATGCCCGTGGGAATTATTGCTGCTTCTTTTCAGCTTTTCTCAATTTGTGGAACCCTAAACATTTTCCAGGAGGAGGAGCACATTCTGTTGGACACTTCACATGCAGTCTGCAGCCTGTATGAGTTGGCCTTTTAGTCACTTCTCATGAATTCTGTAAGCTATCCTGCAGAATCCAGGATCTGTGGACCATGTTCCAAAAGCCATTTTCTCTTAAGAGACGTTGTTCTTTCTTAGGAGAACATTTTTGTGTGTTCTTCGGTAACCTCAATGACTTTGAGAGGATTACTTTTATAATTAATCCCTCAGTCAGCAAAGGGTAGAGATTCTGTTTGCAAATGTCTCTGAATTGATACCGATTCTTACGTAAGTGTTCCCCAACTTGAGCTTTTTCTTCTCGAAAATTAGTAAGTAGAGCTCTTTGCCCACTTCTTCTGTTGAAAGGGAGATGGATGCTACTCAGTTTCTGATTTGAACCCGAAGTAATGGAATCCCTGTTTTCCAGGGATATTTCATGCTGCTGAATTGTACTGTTTTTCTAATACTTTGGTGTGAAAAGAGTTACAAGTCAAAGCTTGAGCATAAACACTTCAGCATCCTGCAACGTTGTACATAAACGCCTATCTTGAAGTCCAGAAAACCAAAGGTTCTTTTATTAGAACAAAAATTGGACAACCTGAGTTCAGTGCTTCTGAGGGAGACCAGTCTTGAGGGCTTCAGCTTCCTGTTGGTGAAGACACAATTCAGGTGAAGAAGCAATAGATTTAGTAGAACTTGTTTCTCTCGGATTCTTTAACAAGCACAGGACACTTGCAAGATGCAAGCGACTTACGCTTTAAATTGCAGGCCTGATAGTTGTGTCTCGTTGCAGCGTGGTGCCTTTCAGGTCAGAAACTCAAGAGCATGGTATAAAAAAAAAGATTGCAATAGCACTATGCCATCCTTCTAATCTTTTTAGCTGACATTTAATTCATTCTTCCAGGCTATCTGCGTCAGGGGAGATGTGTGGGTATAGACGAAGGTGGCTTTGTTGTGAAGCATCAGCAGAGGAAAGGGCTAAAGGTCTAGTTTTTGATGGAGGGAAAAGAGTAGATATTAAAATGCAAGCTTTTCTTTTCAAGATAAGACAAAGCTTAGGTGCTTAGAACAATCTCAGATGTTTTCTTTGAAGCTTATATCATCTCCAATAGCTGCAAAGCAGAAACTGAGGAGTACTCTAAGTGGCTGCAGTTGATCTTTTGCTCCGTACCTGTGCTGTACACCCTAATGAATGTTCAGATCTTTATGCATGCCTAGCTAGGACTGTAGTAGTTCTCTTCTGATCTCTGCTGTTTAATGTATTAAGCCTTTTTTTTTTCCACCTTCAATAACTGTTAATCATTATTTGTCCTGTTTCTTCCTTTTCTAGGATTCAACCTGTATTGTTGCTGCTCTCTTCATAGATGTCAAAAGTTCCTTGCTTGCTCATCTACCAATTGAATTCCATAGCCAAGACAACTTTTTGATGATTGCACTTTTCCCCAAAACAAAGATTTATAAAGCTTTTTATTCACAGGTAAAGTAAAAAAAGATTGGTTTGGGTGGGGGGAAAACCACACAACTATTCTTTGTGTTTCAGATGAGAGGCAAGGGTGAATTTGTTGATGTCTGTCTTAACTAAATTTGGAAAGAAGAAGGGGTTTATTTTTCATGTTAGTTGAGGCACTAAAGCTTGTCACCTGGTAAGTAAATGCAGGAAAGGAAAAGTTCAAGGTCTTTCTTGCATCAGTCTTCACAAGCAAAACCTTTTCGTATATCTCAGTGAACAAGCACAGTTTAGAGAGATGGGGCAGTTAATACTGAGGGAGCAACAAGTTAGGAAATACATTGAAAACCTTCTCTGTGAAGCTGGATGGGATTCGTGCAGGGTATTGAGAGATGGCTGATGTGATTTTGAGGCTGCTTACCTTTTATATAAAATCAGGATGTTGCAGTAGGAAGGACTGTTACAGATAACATACAAGGGGCAGTAACCATAGATCGCAGCTTTGAAGATTCAGACTGAATGTTAGGAGGAGGTTGGTGCAGTGAGTGGAACAGGTCACCCAGACAGCGAATCTCCCCCTTTGAAGATTTTTGAAAACTTGGCTGGATGAAGTGATGGCTGAGCCGATCTGTACTGCCAGCAGTAGTCCTGCTTGGAGCAGGAGGTGGGTCTGGAGACCTCCAGAGGCTCTCTTCCAACCAGAAACTCTGATTTTTCTCTGTGACCGATGGCATCAACCTTGCAGACTTGAGATTGTCGCAGACTGCCCTGCCATGTAGACCTTCCTAGCCCTTCCCAGGAGTGTGATTGCTCCTGATCTTAGGACCTTGCATGTGTGAGAAACTTTAACTTATGTATGCATTTCTAGTGATTGTGTTGCTCGTTAAGTTTAATGCCCACCATGTGCTTTCATTTTGTCTTCTGAAGCCAGTGAGTGCTCTAAAAGCTTGTTTTCTAGTAGTTGCATTTTAAATGTAGCACTGGTGTATAATTGGCTACAGCAATTGTGTGTAGTGGCAGAGGTTCTATTGTGTTTTTTTGTGGTTAGACACATTTGGATCGTGATCCTTAGGGAAGTTTTGCTAAAGTCTTTAAGTATCCCGTATGGTATTGTATTATTCTCTAAGTAGATTGGCTTCATGCGTTATAATGCAGAGGCTTTTAATAAACAAAACTTTGTAACAATAGCACTTTTGAGGAAATGAGCCTGGAGATTTTAGGACTTCACAAGGGTTTTAGTATGCGATCATAACACTGGATTGGAAAAGACCACCTAGCTCAGTGAGTACAGTCCCCACTGGTAGTGTTAATGTTACCATAAAATTTCTCCTCCTTTTTTCTTAAGTGTTTCGATTCCTTCCACTGTTCCACTGTGTGAGTGGTTGGGAATATTTTGTTTGTTTGGTTTGGAATTTTCAGCCTATTTTACTAGGTCTACTTTTATATCTGTTTTTTTTTTTTTTTTTTTTTTTTTTTTTTTTTTTTTTTTTTTTTTTTTTTTTTTTTTTTTCTTTTGCTCTACCAGCAGACATCCTTGAGGTATTCAGAAATTTCTGGCTTCTTTGGCCTGATAAAATAAAACCAGATCCTTTTTAATCCATGCTTATAAAAAGTTCTCTTTTCCTCTGATCATTGTAATACTTTTCTTTTGATCTGTTTTTTGGCTCTAGATTTCTGGACTGTGTGTAGTAGTTGAGATGAGGGTATTTGTTTCTTGTACAGAGGCAATAATAGTGCTCTCTTCTGAAAATGTTCAGGGGTACCTTTGGTTTGCCTTTACTTTTCACTGCTGCCTTGAATTAATAGATTGTGCTCATCTTTTGAGAAACTCCTTCAGGTCCTTTCTCTTTTGCTACCCGCTGACACTCCAGCTGATTCTAGAAGTGTTTGTGTGCTCATTCTTGCTTTCATACTTACCTTCCTCCTATTTTTCTTTCTGTTTCTTCCATCCTTACAGTTAAATCCATTTTGCTATGAAGCATCTCAGTGCTGTGTAAACTGTCTCCCAACTTAGTTCCCCAAAATGCTGTCAATTCACTTCAGTCTCTGCCGAATTCATTGCAAAGGGTGTCGTGGGGCGTTCCCTAAGCAACTCCGCCGGTGAATGTCCCCAGCTTTCTGCTGCTTGTTTTTGGTGCTATTTATTCCGGTCCTCCTTTGAGTTAGCTTTTTGCCAAACAGTTCTATACTGAGTTTCAGTTTCTGCAGTTTAACAGTTTCTCCTCTGGCACCAAACCAGTTGCTTTGCTCAAGTTCAAGTAGATGAAACATGTCTTTTGTCTTCAAGATGTTATCTCATGAAGAGCTGTTCATAAGATCAAGTGTACCTGATTGTGTAAACCATGGAAACATATTATTGTATTTTGTTATTGTTTACCTTCAGGTATTTATTGATTTCCTCCAAATTTTTTTCAAAAAGTCTGCATGCCATTGAAGTCGCACAGACATAGTGGTCATTCTACAGACCTGTAGTTACAAAGGTTCACTAAAATGTAGGTACTAGTTTTACTCTTCTACCATCAAATGGCTTGATACCTCGCTTACTGGATCTATGCTTTAGTTATTCCAAGCCTCCTTGAAACAGGGAATGGCAATTACCCGTTCCTTCAGATGTGAGTGTATTAAATTCCTTGTAACTGAGATGGTTGCAAGATTTTGAGCACACAGAACTGGAATCTGGTTTGCAGATCCTGCAAAGACAGGACAGTACCTTTCATGTCCTCGCTCTAATTGGTAGTGGAGGAAAATTTGGTTAGGCTTTGGGATGTATTGATTTCCCTGGTTTTCTTCACCTTCTCTAATGCCATAGCAGCTCTTTTTTAAAATGTTCGTTAAGTTATACAAAAAGGACCGTTTTATTTCCTTTGAGTTCTATCTCAGACTGACCTGCATTTTCACTTTATCCCTAGCCCTTTATCTTCTAAAGGATACAATTTTCTGTTGACCAGTTCTTCTTTTCATCCCTTGTAGGCATTTTCCTTAGTCTCTTATACATGTTTTGAAGTGGTTATTTGTTTGGTTGCATGGATCCTTCTACACAAGCAATATTGTCTTTGTTAATATCAAAAGTTTAGTTTATTTGATGTTTATTTATCTCAGTACCCTTGTGTTTAGGATGCCGATTTGTTAATGGAAAGCAGTCGTCGTCCCCCCGTCCCCCCCCAAGTTGTTTTGTCTTGCAGCAAATCATTGTGAAAAATGACAATGGCTGTTGCCTTTACTTATTAAAAGAAGGGAAATACTGAACGCTTAAATGACTGTGTGATTCATCTGAATCTGATTTCTAGGTTCGGAGTGCCATTCATATTAATGTGACTTGGCTAGAGCAATAGAATGCGAGCCAAAACACTGTTCCCTAGGGAAACGAAGGGCTCCCTTTTCTTTTGCGAAGGAACAGGGCTTTTCTTAAATTTCTAGAAATGATTGCTGCAATCTTACCTCATGAAAATTACAATACTACTTAAAGGAGACACATTAATTCAGTTCCTGCTGTACTGCTGTTGAACTATAAATACCTAGCGTATACTATAACTAAAAGATACATGTGAATGTTACTGTTACTTTGGTGGGTAAATTTTTTTCCTAGGATTTTTTCCCCAGCTGTGAAGATTGGGGAAAACGAGACCATTTCAGTAAAGTTACTTCTTAAAGCAGTTCCAGTCTAGCCAAAGAGAAGCTTACAAAATCTGGTTTGTGGAGACTTCTTCCATATTTTGAATTCTTGCAGCAAAACCAGTATTGTGAAACATTTAATGGCTAGCTAAAATGCATGTATTTTTTTAGGTGAACAAAAACAATTCCTAAACAAATTCAAAACAAATTTTGCAAAATAATGATGCTTATGCATAGGTCTGGTTTGTTCCAGGTTTTCTCTGCGTGGCAAAACCAGACACACTCAGGATTATCGTTAAGGGTTGTCCAGGAAGAATTTCTGTCTGTGGAACAAAAGAGACTGTAAGTTCATGCCGCTTACTCCAGTTTAATTCTGCATTAACTGTGTGCTACAATCAAAAAAATGCTGTCACTCATTGAAGATGTTGATAGTGGTTCAAAAAGGAATTGTTGCGTTCTTAGTGCAACACTCGCTTAATCTTTTTGTACTAGTTAATATGTAGCAGTCTGGTTTAAAGAAGATAAATTTCTAGGTTTCTTTTTTAACTAATCAATTAATTGATTTTGTTTGTTTTAGGCATTCCGGTGTTCAGAAGCTGTTTAATGCCTTGTCGTTTCCTTCTGGGGAAAGATGCAGGGAGCTTAAAATATCTGCTGCCCTTCCAGAATTAGAGAGGTGAGAAATTGTTTGTGTTTTCAAGGGATCAGTTTTGTCAGAAATAATACAACAGTATTCTGGTATATGTAATACTTGTCTAAAAATTGCTTATTTAATAACTCTGTCTTCGCGCTAGATATTTTTATTCTGAGATGAATTATTTCCTCTCTAGGAAGCCTCTGTTCGACCTTTTAACAATCTTATTTTAGTAATTTCCCAACTATTTATATGAATGAAGTCTTTTGGTCTTGATTGTAAGAAAATAAAACTTTTATTTTTTTTGAAAGGTTTGTGCAACATTTTACTGTCAGCAGCGTGAGTCATGAGCCAATAATGAGAGCGCATCTTCCTATTTTATTGCAACAGTCAGAAGTCATTCCTGATAGCAAAGCAGAAAGTGATAAGGTAAGGAAGCAACCCAACAATAGTTCCTACCCCAGTACAGAATATTTAGCAAATATTCAGTCTGTCATTAGTTCTGTTGCAGGCAATGCAGTAAAGTACTGATGTGTGTTTAACCATGCTCTCTTCCTCCTTCTCCGATACCACCAGTTCACGCTGGACTTGCTTCAAGTCTGTTTCTTAGAATAAATTGCTCTGCTCTGTTTTCCTGATTACATTACTTAATTTTATTTTTCATTTAAACAATCCTTTGGAAGTGCTTATGGCCCTTCAGCCTGATAAAATAGAGGCAGAAAATGAGGCGTAGATCTTCAAGTGAACAGTTTTCTCTCATGTCCAGAGAGAGTTAGCCCTAAAGCAGTAGCTTGTTTTTATGAATTGCTGAATAATTTAACTGAATTGTTCTCTGGAACATAAAAGTCCTTTAAATAGCATAGAGGTAGCACATGATATTTAACATTTGCTGATATTATCTGTAGAACACTCAGTTCTCTATAGGGGCAGTAACAATTGTCAAACTTAAGGAGTGCTTTAAAGAGCATTTTCAGAGAAAATAGTTCCTTGTAACTTTCCAGCATTTGAAATCTGCTGTAAGCCAGAAGGTGACAGCAGCAGGA